TAGAGCTGTCAAAGAAAAGTCTTCCCATATTTACTATTTACTTATCTTGTGGTGATTTCTACAGAGCAGAAGATGTTCTCAGACCACGTATCTCTTTTAATAGTGAAGACCCTATGGAAAAAAAGACTTTGGAGAAGGGGAATGTAATTCACTTAGTGAGAATTGTACTAAGTCACTAGAAAGAGAACATTCTCACTCTTCTATTATAGCATAAGGTGGAATTTTTCTCCAAACTATGGGTGTTAGGCACAGGCACTTGGAGAAAAAATGCTAATTGTACCTTTTGTCTAATGATTGTATGAAGGCCCTCCCAACACACTGAGAAGTCACTGTAATACTGTCCACTGCAGAGCAGGAATTGGTTTGAGGGAGGCCAACTTGGACTCCATCCCAGCCTACAAAGTTTCTGAGACACCATAAGGAACGACCTCATTTCAAGGTGCAGACTTCTCTGCATCCATGGGCAGCTTTCTGGGGACTGTCCTGGGGAATGCCTGGCTCTAACTGTCTGGGTTTGGGCAATCACACCTGGATATAAAAACATCAATACTGGCATTGCCCTAGATGGCCCTCAAAGTGGTCTCATGTACATTGCGTGCAGTATGATGGGTATGCTGTTGTTATTATGCACCTGGGTGACTTTAAGGGAGTGGACACACAGAGGTGTGAATTAAGAGAATGTTTGATTTTTTCCTAAGCAATGGTACATTACAAGATGTCCAGTGTGCACCAGTGGGGCAGAAGTTTTATTATTAGGTGTACATAAAAAATAAGCTTACCTGGAGGTACACGTTCATATCTCAGTGTTTCCCACTGTGTCAAAATGTGGCATGAGCTAGTAGTTTTTTAAAATTATAATCTTAATAAGGCTTAAAACATATTTAAAAAAAGTAGATTGTTGAACATTTGTGGAATCTCTGGATACCATCTGGAGAACCCAAGAACCCATACAACATAGTTTGATGTCCTTTGAAGTACTGGAGCCTATCATGGGGAGAAGAGCAGGGGAAAAGGGATGGCGGGCGAGAGCCAGGATGTAAGCACTAGAATTCTCCAAGATATTTACAACCTATTTGGTGAATTCAGACTTAACCTGATCACAAACTGCCTGTCTGAGTCTCAGTTTCCCCACTTTCAAAACGAGATAACTGGTAAGGAGTTCCCCAAATACCAAATCCAAGGGCAACAGTATTGCTTTGCATGCTGTATGGTTCAGATTAGAAAAATAAATTATAAAGATTTTGCATCATAAACAGAGAGAGATGAAGACTGCTCCCTCCTTCAGCCTCTGTTCACAGTGCTTGTGATTATCAGTCATCATCAGGCCACTGGTGACATCCCAGGCTCCGTTTCTGAGCTCTCCCTGCAGACCTGCATGTACAATGAAGTATGACCTTAAACTTCTGGCTCAGAGGAGGGTCTCTTGTCTCTTGAAAGACAAAAATGAGTTGGACCATACACCACATTTGATATGGGAAGTACTCAGAAATGTGACTTTAGAATGACTCTGAATACAATTTTAGCTAGTCTTGCAGTCATTCTACTGAATAAGCATAAAGTCTCAACACACTTCTGCCACAGAGGTTATACAACCACACAAGTCACAATTCTTAGGCGTCATTTCTGCACAATGGAAAAGACGCTCCATGCAACCTGTTCTTTTTGGTTTTTCACAAATGTACTATTTCAATAGAGGTCACAGAAGTTGATTTTCATGGTTTCAGAGAAACTCTTTTGATAAAAATAACCCATGTCAGGTGCTAGGTATAATGGGTTCCACTTCTCTTCACAGTCCCAGCTTCCTTCTTACACCATAAGCGGCCTCACGTGCTTGCTTATGGACACACCAGTCTGCAGTCCACAGTCTTCTCAAACATCTGCAAATTGCTGTCCCTTAGGCATGGAATGAGCCCACAGGTGCACAATCTGCTGTTAGAAGGACGGACCCAAGAAGAGCCCACGTGACTCCCATCTAGGGAATTCCAGTGCTGAGTGTGCAGGGTGAGGGTGGGGGTCTCAGGCTCTAGGTGGCACGTCTCCTTGACACCCTGGATTCTGTCCCAATGAAAGGAGACATGGCTGGAGAAAGGCCAGAGCAGGCAACTCTAAAGCATGAGACCTAGGCCAGGGGCCCCTCGTGCCTTGGCCTAAGGCATTCACTACGGCCATCCACATCTGAATTCTACAACTTTTAAAGAAATAGGTATAAACAACCCTTCCTCTCACTGGGTATCTGAGCATGGCTGACTGTATGTTGAGCATCAAGAACCCAATACACCCTAAAGACATCTGAGTCTCATGCTGGAGGCAGCGCAGTAAAGCTAAGGTGTCTGCCGGGCACTGAACCCTCCCTTATCAGATGAAGACAAGCCAAGTCATCTGGCCCGTGTTACCTACCACTTAGAGCTACAGCTACAGTTCAGACTTATAATGATGGTCCTATGCTGACTCCTTCAAGGAACTTACAGCCTGATAAATCAAACCCAAAATAATTACAAAGAAGATAAAAGCAGTATTATGAAAGACATAATGAGATGTTATTCTAGAAACACTAAAGTAGGAAAGTGGGATTAACTTTTGCATGGGGGTACTGGAAGGGGACATTTGAGAGGCTTTGGAAGTGGCTCTAAGATGCCAGTTTCATATCAGTTAACTAGTAATTTCTTTAACATTCCATAAATTAAGTTGATCCCTAATTCCTGTATGACATAACCACCAAAAAATGTATATTTCCAGGAAGTACAGTGTAGTCTTTTTCTCTTCAAGAAATACTAAAAAAAAAAATACCAGTTCAGTCTGAAAACCTGTGATTCTAAGTCTTTATATGTCACCATGTGTAAACCAATGCATCACTGCATGAAATGAATTTTTCGTTAAATAGGAAAATAGAAAACAGTAGGAAAAGTTTTAAATATGGAATTTTACAGGAACCATATCCTTTATTCTTGCCTTTAAATTCCAATTTTTACTTTTCAAATAAAATCCTGAATTTGTTACAGTCTCTTTCCAAGTTGCTAATATTTTATACTTTATGTCATTGTGAGGAATATAAAGTACGCAGTACCACTAGATACTGAAAAAATCAGGCATTTAAGATTGTCTTTCTCCCTTTCTCTATGAAATTATTTGTCTGCATTTTCCTGTCGGAGCATATCAAATTTCAGCAAGAATGGAATGTTAATTGATGCTATGCACAAGCTGGGTTATCATTCTTCAAATTTAATAAGCAAATAAAAAAAAATCCAAACAAAAACAACTGGGTTTCCTATTTTTATTTACAGAATTTAGTGCCAATTTGGGGGGATCAAACTAAAGTGTCTGTCTCTTTATTTGCTATGTCTCACCCCTCCCTCAATCAGTGTACGCAAGGAGACCAGAAGGCTTGCTCCCCTGATGACTGCCCAGACCATGAGGTCTATTCAAGCTTCTCCCCAGGGCCCTGAAACAACATAAGCATCTACTTCCTAGAAAAGCCTGCAGCCTACCTAACCCTTCCCAACTGAGGAAACACACAGACTCAGCCTTTCTGGTGTGATTATGAAAGAACACAAGGGCTCATGCGACCCAGCCCAAAGCTGAGGTACAGCCTTTGAACACCATCTTGTGCCTGTCTTCTCAAAAACTATGGTGTATGTTGGGCAAAGAGGAAACAGGTACAATTTATTTTCCAACAATGGCAACACACTCCAAGAAACCCTCTGGAAAACCTCTGATGCCCTTGTCAAGTATATAATTTGGAAAATTTGTGGTCTTACATGTACAGGTTGTAGTATCTGTATTTCAGGGGTGGGGATGCTGAACACTTTTATAAACTGAATGACTTTCTAAGGTAGGCTAACTGTTCAGAGAATGTGCAACTCCCCTCCTGCATTTCTACTCCTCAGCTGAGGCATCACTGGAATTTGGGCAAACATTTGTTTGTGTAGAGTATGAGCTTCTTTGCAGCCCGCTTCCACTCCCCTATGTCGTGATGACCAAAGACTCCACCATACATTTCTCAGCAATGGCCCCCCACCCAGGGCACTGCCCCTGAACAAGAACCACTTCAAGGCTGAAGATGGACTATATGTGACAAAGGACACATTGTCCTGAGAGGATTCTTTTTCTCAAGGCTTACCCTAACACTTTGAAGGCAATTTCTGTAGGCTTCCCAGTATCACAGGGATTCTCCACATCAGCCTCCTGCCACAAATAACACCGCAAAGGAGCATTCCTTGGCTTTGGTATCCATGTGTGAACTCACTGTACATGTAATGGTTCTTTCAAAGATAAGTGTTGTTAGTGTCTACTTCCAGGCTCCTCTTTTTAGATCCTGGGTACAGAATTTCACAAAAATTCATCTCAGAAACAATGAACTATAGGTGAAACAGAAGTTAACCCAAGCCAATAGCTATTATGGTTTTGTGTCTGAATGAGACAAAAAACAGGACAGCGTAACTGTCATTCTTTGTTGGAACAGAGCCCTTGGGTTTACTCTTTGTACTCTGGCTGAAGTCTTCAACCAGCTGGGTAGTGCTTACTGTTCACAGGTCATTCAAGTTCATTGTAAACATAATTTCTTCTTCAGTTGGCACCGCCTTCAGAGGAGTGCTTTCACACCCCTGTGCAGGCACGGGGCTGTTGCTCAAACCAGGTCAATGATCCTGGTGCTCTTTCTTCCCTGACCTTGAGCTGCATTTCCCCAGACATTACATATGCAGCTTGGAAAACAGGGGTTATGGCAAAAAGCATTTGGAAACTTGCAACTGATTCCTTTCTCGTGGCTAAGATGCAACAGGCTATTTCTGCAATGGGTCCTGTCCACAACAAGACCAGCCGGATATGTCTGTTTGTAAGCAGAAGGCTCTGCTCCTATTCCCTGCTAGATAGTAAGTGCAAAGACATTTTGTCCACCAAACTGGTCATGGACAGTAATAACATTAGGCACATGGAATGGGGGAAGTTTGTTACTGAAAAGAGGAAAAATAAGTTTAATGAAAGAACAGCACTTTCTTACTCACCACTGAGGTAAGAGCCATCTGAAAACTGTAGATGCGGGCAAGGCCGAAGTCAGCCAGTTTTATTTGTCCACTGCTGGTCACCAGAATGTTCTGTGGTTTTAGATCACGATGCACTACCCGGTGAGAATGAAGAAAGTCCAGACCTCGGAGAAGTTGAAACATCATATCCTAAAAAAAAACCAAAAAATAAAATAAATAAATGGTCAAGCAATAATAGTCAAAAAATGGTCAAAACAGAAATTCAACATGCTGACTCCTTGGCACTTAGAAGATCATTTGTCACACATAAAGCACTTGATAAATATTTGCTGAATAAATGAATTAATCTCCCTTCCTACCTCTCCCATTCTCAAGGTCACTACAAAAAAAATTTCACTCTTAACCTGAATTTTATTAACGAATGACAATTTAAAATAGTTTCTGATGGCATAGGAAATATACTGGTAGGATATATGTGCCCATGACTTATGCTGGGGAGAGGAGGCACAGACTTCTATGAGGTTTAATATGTTACTTCAACAATTAAAATCGAGTAATGATAATAATATTAATGGCAATTCTTACTTTTTCAAATAGCAGCTAACACTAAGCAGTCAGTATGTATGAAGCACTTTCTAAACACCTTCTGTTTAGTAACTCACTTAATCCACATCGTGACACTGAGGTAAATAATAGCATCACCCCATTTTACAAGTCAAGAAAACTGATACACAGCAGGTGTATATAACGCTGTTAGAGAAAGAGCCTTGATACAAAACAGTCTGGAAAAACTGGATTCAAATCTCCAAGGCACTCCTCTTTCAGTTGACCAATGACTAAATGAGTATGTAAAACCAGGTAGGTCATTTAACCTTGCCAAACCTCAGTTTTTCTATCTGTAAAATGGGAAAGTAACAAAATCTACTTTATAGGATCATTATTTGTAAGGTGCTAGCACGATAAGAAGCATTGAATAAACAGTAGCTACTGTCGCTACCATTATTAACCAGCATGGAGCAGGGAGGAATTAGGACAATAAACCAATGCCATCTTTTTCTGATTTTAAAACCAGTAAGTTAGATACAAAATTTAAAACTCAGAAATAGTGCCTGAAAGTAGGAATATAAAATGTTGACTACAATATGATCCTCTGAAATCTGGGATTAAGATTCACCTAGCACCACCTACCCCCAAATATTGAGAGAATGGTGCGTACATGGGAGATGGAGTTGCTCTGTTCATATTTGAGTTAGAAAAATGATCAGGCAGCACCATGGGTTTCAGAGCTGGCAGGGGCTGTGCGGACACTCTTGTTCATCATTTGGACCATATTTGGCTATTGGTTTATGGTACTGGCTCTTCAGAGTTGGGAGTTTTCTCTACACCCTGGCTTGTGTAAAATCAAAGCCTTAGTTTTCCATTTTTCAAAAGAAGGAAATTGCTTACTTTTCATAATATTTCAAGATTTAAATGAAGTAATGTATGCAGAGGGTTCCAGCACATGGTAAGCATTCAACAAATGATAATCATCACAGTGTCCATTTCCTGGGGGAGATGGAGTCACAAACAACTATAAGAAAATGCGGCAGTGCCACAAGGTCAGTGACAAAGTGCTAAGTGCGGGTGCGCAGCAACAGAGGTGTACTAGAATCCTTTTTTGGAGATCCACCTAAATGGATATTCTCAACTGCAAGGGCTACCTTCTAAGTTTCCAAAGATAAAAACTCTGGAGAAGACTGCAGAGTGGAAGGGCAGTCCTTCATGACTTAACCACTGCAGGTCAAACAACTTGCAATGCACATGTAAAAATGAGGCACAAATTGTTGACAAAAGTACTTGTTCTGCTGTGGCAAATAATCATTACTGGAAACATGAATATGACGTGTAAGCACTTGATTTTAAACAGCATGAATAACCAAAAGTAATGTAATGCTGGTGCTTCACCTTTAGCTTCTTGTATGCACTGAGCACCAACCATTTAAAATAGTATAAAGAATAAATCAGCTTTGGTTCATGTTTCACTGTTTACACAGTTAAAGCAGCCGATTAGCAGAATAAAAATTTGAAAATCTGAACTAATTAATAATAAGGCCCATCTAAATTTATAAAAAGCCTGAACTACACAGTAAAACAAGATGTACATTTCTTTTGTGTATTTATTTATATTACCACATTTTTCTTAATTGTAAAATTGCTACATGCTTAATGCAGAAGCTTAAAAGTTCCTTTAAAATGTAGAGGAAAAACAAAAATTACTCCAAATTCCATCACTCAGAAAACAGAGAAAACTTCACTGTTACATAATTTTTGTGCCTTTCTCATCTTTTAAAAATTATGGATATTGCTGTATTTGGAGGTATAAATATATATTTATATATAATATATAAGTATTATACTATACATCATACCATATTAATATACAAACATATTAATAAATAATAGTGGTTATTATTTTATACACATTATTTTATGACTGTTTCAAAAGCATTTAACCATTCATTATGAATTTTGTCACTTCAATAAAATTCTTCGACAATGTAACTTTTCTTTATAACTATGGCTTTTTATGGCTGCATGGTTTTCCTTCCTGAGATATGTCATAATCATTATTTGGTTTTAGCTGTATCATTTTTCAATTTATACTGAGTCTAGCTCTTTGCTTAAAGGCTAGTGTAGATGAAAACTACTTGTTAACATCAGATCCAAGCACAATTTAATCAGTACAAGTCCACATAACTATACTAACATTATTCCTTGTATTAATGCCTATAGATGCATGAAAAGTTGGTTCTACATAAGAATTACCATTCTTTAGATTTTATTAGGCTACTTAAAAATTTTGTTAGCACACTGGGCCTTCTTTTAAAACTACAATATTAAGTTACAATTAAAGTGTTGGAGTAATGAGCTTTGAACAATTTTTTAAAATTTTGCCAAAAATCTCATCACCTTCACTAATTCAGTTGTGAGATAGGTTGATGGGTGTTATGAACTTACAGTAAGTATGGTCTGGGGACCCCATCAATCTTTAACCATGCATTGGAACACCTAATCTCAATGGGGAAATTATTCAGCTATGTCAGGAGCTCTGGCCACAAATAAGAGTAAGACAAGGTCTCAATCTGTGAGAATGATACGAATGAAAAACTGTAACACCAAATAAGGTAAGAAAACACATCTTTCCTTCAGAATCACAAGAAGTGCTTGGATCAAAGATGTTTCAAGGGATTCTGTACTTAAGCTTAATATCTGTTCTATCTCATGAGATAGTTTTAAATTAGCTCCTCAAGATTTTAATCTAAATTAATCTGTTTTATACAAGACTCAGATATTTCACAGTAATCCAAGTGATGCAATGTAATGAAACTACGGATACTGCCAATTAAGGCTCTTTAAATTAAACATAGGTTTAAAACCTTTTTATGTTACAGTGCACAATTCTGGTATAAAAGGTTCGAACATGTAGTCCTGCTTATGATAAACAGTCACTCAGGGCTCTCATTCTGTATCTTTCTCAAACCCATGATGTGGAAGCCAGTTTCAACAGGACACCATCACAGAAGGAAGTCTGGCTCCCAGTGACTTTAGGTGGGGTTTGTCCTTGGCAATTCCCCTAAAAAGACTAGAGATCTTTAAAGCCTTGTAATTGTTTCTTTTAGGTGTTCTAGATCTCTAATCCTCTTACTTCTTTTAAAACAAAACAAGCAAGCAAACTGAAAACCTACCTCAAGCTTTTCTAATGGGAAAAAGTTTTATCATTGGGTCTTTTTCCAACCACCAAAAAAGTATCATTAGTACCAAAAGATACTAAAAACACCGAATTTATACCATAGTAAATCACAGAAATGACAGTTTTCAATGGACAATTCTGGATTTTTGGACATTTCTACCTTCTCTAAGTTATTTATTCACATCCTCAAGTTTTAGTAACAAAGACGTATATAAATAATTTTTTATTTAGATATTTAGATATTAGAAATAAGACATATACAACTTACAGACACAGATAATTTTTTTTCTCCTTGTAGTGTGTAAACCATAGTCTTTTTAATTTGTTATGCATGTTTTGATAGAAATATCTTCATAATGATTTATTGTTTCCTACAAAGGTCTCCTATCCAGTTTGTTTCCTATGAAGGGTGTTCGAGGAGTCTACAGTCTAAGCAGATCACCCATAACAGGTTTTTACAGTAAACTGATAACATACTGACTTACGGTAGGGGTTAGGATTATAGGAATAGAAAGAAAAGATCACGCAAGCCTACATACAAAGGGTGATGATAAAGTCACAAAGAAAGTAGACTATTGGCAATAATGAGGACTAGTCTCAAGATTTTTTTGCTGATTATTGAAATTATTATTTTTAATTGTAGGAAAATACATATAAAATTTACCCTCTTAACTGTTTTTAAGTGTATAGTTCAGTATTAAGCATATTCATACTGCTGTACAACCAGTCTGCAGAGCTTTTTCAGCTTGCAAAACTGAAACTCCATACCCATTGAACAATTCCCCATTCTCCCTCCTCTTGACACTCTAGCGACACCATTCCACTTTCTGCTTCTATGAATTTGACTATTCTAGATCCCTCATATAAGTGGAATCATACAGTATTTATCTTCTTGTGACTGGCTTATTTCACTTAGCATAATGTCCTCAAGGTTCATCCATGTTGTAGCATATGTCAGAATTTCCTTTTTTTTTTTAGGCTAAATGTATATATATATATATATACCACATCTGGCTTATCCATTCATCTGTTCACGGACACCTGGGGTGTTTCACCCTTTTGGCTATTGTGAATAATGCTGCAGTGAACATGGGTGCACAAATATCTCTGCTACCTTGCTTTCAATTTTTTTGAATATGTATACCTAGAAGTGGAATTGCTAGATCTGGTCCCAGGATCTTTTAAAACAGTTCTCCCATAAAATGTGGTACAATATTACTGCATTACGTCCTGGACAGTCAGTCAGGGGGGCTCAATCACTCACTCCTCCCACTTCCGTGCTCAGGGAGAATTCGCTGTTAAGTGACCACATTGAGCTTAGTATATAGTCTACACCTTTTACTCTGCTTCAAACATGTGTTTTCACTGGTCAATTCACCATGATGACAACAATGGGTTGCAAAGACTGCTTTATAAACAGGGTCTCCCTGCTGCTCACTTTTGCTGTCACAAGTACCCA